AAAAAAAAAAAAAAAAAATTAAAAGTTTTTTTTTCCCCCTGAAATTTTGGGACAAAAAACTTGAGTATTATACATGCATTCACCATACATGGCAAAATGCAGATTATGAAATAAATTTTATTTTAATTTCTTTTGACACAAGCAGAATTTTAATCAGGTACAGATCAAAATCATGTTTCCATATGTTTCAAGTTAATTCCTACGACTGTTAACAGCTTCATCTACTGATCCATCATAAAACAAGCAATGTGAGTTCTTCCAGTCTTTAAGTCCAGCTCTGTTATTTGAAAATTCCAGAAAAGTCTTGTACTTGAAGTGCCAAATTACCTGATTAAACGCAGATAAATGTTTCTTCAGAACACAGTATGCACAGACAGCTGCTTGCACTGCATTGGGGATTCTGCTATACGGCTGTGTGCAGAGTCTGCAAGGCCGGTGGGTCTGGGAAGGTAACTGTCTCTTGACAAGACATTACCTGTGCCTTCCTCTCTGTTGGCTGCCTTGTTTTTATTTAATATGTTTACTTTTTCTCCTGATGGAAAGGAAAGTCAGATGCCTCTGAATTTTGATATTTCACGGCAAACCTTCTTAAGTTCTTACTGCCTTTCCCATGTGGAAAGGTTGATCTGTAGATGGTGTCTCTCTCTTCCTGATAGAGCTTGTGGGTGGTAAGATCTCAGGGAGTGAAACTTTAAAAATAAATGACGAGAAGTGGAGTAGTTGGTCTAAGGTGGGAGTTGAGAGGGATGAGGTGGGGAAGGTTTAACAAAAGGCACTGATGTTCTGAATGCACAGAAATACCACCCATCAATAATAAATGGTGTGGCATGGAGCAGATGTGCCAGACTGAGTGATGAGAGCATGTGATCAATTCACAGAGGGCAGAAGGGAGCAGCAGCACGCCTGGTGTTTTAAATTATCTGTGTGTGAGCCTTTGAATACAATTTTGAATATTCTGTTTTTATGTTCTGATAGCTACTAGTTGGAAATATAAAAAGTTTGGAATTTCCAGAAATCCAATTAAATTCCAAATGTTTTTAAAGTAAGAATTATCAAGAATGAATAAATGCTTTTCAGAAGAGGAAGACAATTTTAAAACTAATTTCTTGCTTTTTCCTAGCTGAGTGCTTGCTTTTTAAAAGCTCATGTTGTACTTATTATGAGGAATGAAATTGCATCACAAAACTTAAGTGATACTGTTACTAGGTGTTTTTTACATCAGTTGTATCTCTAGACACCTGCTCAGTACAATTGATTCATCCCCCCTCACCATTTTGATTCAAGGAACAGTCTGTACATATTTTCTGTGTGAAAATCACTACTAGCAAATTGGAAAGAAAGACAAATCTGTTAAGCTACCTGGAATATTTTGTAGATATAGTGACTAGAGCAGAAGTCAAGCTTTGATTCGATCTTCTAATTCTGTGGAGGTACTGTCAGTGTCACAGGCAGAGGAGACAATGGTTTGGGTGGTGTTTGAAATGACTTCCTGAGGTCCTGGGTTGGGACTGGTGTGCAGAATGAGACACAGGCCTGGTGAGACGTGTGAGTTATTCTACCCATCCTAGTACGGATTCAAAGGATTCTTGCTTCCTTTGTGGAAACTTACTTGGCATTGGAGATCTCTGGTTTGCTGTCCCAACAAAAGGAATTCCTCTTTTTTTTTTTTTTTTCTAAAGTGGACAAAAAAGTACTTAGTTCTTGCAAATAATACCAACTTGCTTTAAATCTGAGGTTTGTGGCTCAAGTGGCTAAGGTGCCAGCCACATACACCTAAGGTGGCGGGTTCGAATCCAGCCCAGGCCACCAAATAACAATGCCGGCTGCAACCAAAAAATAGTCCGGCATCGTGATGGGTGCCTGTGGTCCCAACTATTTGGGAGGCTGAGGCAGGAGACTCACTTGAGCCAGGAGTTGGAGGCTACTGTGAGCTGTGATGCCATAGCACTCTACCCAGGGAGACAACTTGAGGCTCTGTCTCAAAAAAAAAAAAAAAATCTGAGGTTTCTTAGGCCACGTGGAGAAATCATTTAGTTTTGTGGAAGACTTTGTTTAATCTTTGAATGTCATGGTTGAAAGTGAGGACAGTGATTATATAAAATTCTGTCCCTAGTTCTTACTCTAGCCATCTGTGTTGTGGATGATCAGTGTTTTCAGGTACAAAATTTTGAATTAACCTTTTCACTTCCAAGGGACCCCAGCTTATCTCAAAAACACAGTTGTCAAACTGACTTTAGAGCCACCAAATAAATCTATTTTATAGGCCTGTTAGATATCTAGTGCAAAGCCCCCTTCACTCTGAAAGGCCTGTGGCTGGACACACAGGGATTTCCTGGAGTCATCTCTGGTACATCTCCTTTGGGCTGTTAAGGAGGTGCTGAAATGTGAGAGGCTGGCAGCGGAATCCGATTGTGGCTGGGGTGATGGGGAAGGGAGAAAACCCAGCTTTTCACAGCACATGGTCTGGCTTTTAGTTGCAGCTGCAAACAAGGGATATGAATTTAACCAGTTGCTACAGTGCAGCTGGCCCAGATCTGCTTTATAACTGGCTGAAGTAAAGTGAAACGGCTGGAAAATTCCAGCCAGGCAACACCAGCGTGAACATGTGGACTAAACAGTGTGAGCAAATGCTGGCTGAGGTGGGGAAAGACTTCAGACATAAACTCGGAGGGGAGGGTGCTTTTTCTGGCCTTTTTAACAAGCCTCTATTGTTTTGATTAGTTCCCTTGAAGGAGGTGGAAGGTTTCCGACATCCAGGGTAATTCATAGAATGCTTGGCCTGTCTGCCTTCCGCCTTGACTGAAGTCACCTGACACTTTTTGGTTTTTCAAGAAGGAAAGAGAAATCTGTTTCCTCAGCCACTAGCAATGACTCAGATCTCAGAACTTGATCTTTTTGTCCTTGCACAGTCCCTGTCCTGGGTGACATAGAAGCCCCTGTGTCTTCCTGCCACCTGGCTGCTACCACCTGTCCCCAGACACGGGGCACGAGGGAGGAGGTGTGCAGAGGTTGGGGTTTTATTTAATTGTTCTAATTAAAGGATTCTCCGGTAAAGAAAATAGGTCTGCTAAAGGGAGGTCTTTTGTATTATCAGATTTTTTTTCTCTTCATGAATTGTGTGCTTCAGGTAGAGAATTGAGACTTGGCTGGAAAAAGATTTCTATGGAGTCAAAGGAGCATGGCCTGTTTGGGGGAAACATTTGCTGTAACCAGGTTCAGGTAGTTGGTCTCTACCAGTGCTTGGGAGCTGTGTTTGCTAAGCGATTCGTGGTCACAGGTATTGGCCAGTGAGGTGAAACATTTGATGGAAGGACTTTAAGAAGCTTTCTGGAGGCACAAGGCTGGTGGCTGTAGCTGGGGTCCCCCCTCCCCCCAGTATAAGTTTGCAATGATGGGTCAGAGGCGCGATTCTGTGGTCCACTGAAGAATCCTTTCAGAAAGCAGAGGATACTGGTAATTAAGCTCCTTAACATTTCTGCATAACTTAGGAAACTTTTCTTTTTCTCCTAGAACTTTATCATGGCTCACCCATTTTTAGAAGGGACAACATTTAAATTATCAATAAAAATTGCCTATATCCCAACAATACTACTGTTCCCTGTCTTAGGAAAGTAAAGTTTTTCTTGATACACATTCCTTGGAATTCATTTAGTATCTTTCCTAAAGAGTGGTACTGTTAGTTTGCAGGTGTGAACAGTGGGCTGCGTGTGGAGCCCGTGTCTCCAGCCGCTGCGCTCCGGGTGGCCTCCTGGTTAATCACTGTGCATTTTCTTACCACAGATCACCATCATCTTCAAAGCGCACCATGAATGCACAGACCAGAAGGTCTACCAGGCCGTGACTGACGACCTGCCCGCTGCCTTCGTGGACGGCACTACGAGCAGCGGGGACGGTGATGCCAAGAACTTGCTCATCGTGGAGCGGGAGAGCGGCCGCTATGTGGAGATGCACGCGCGCCACATCGGCACCACAGTGTTTGTGCGCCAGCTGGGCCGCTACCTGACGCTGGCTGTGCGCATGCCCGAGGCCCTGGCCATGTCCTACGAGGAGAGCCAGGACCTGCAGCTGTGCGTGAACGGCTGTCCCCTAAGCGAGCGCATCGACGACGGCCAGGGCCAGGTGTCGGCCATCCTGGGGCGCGGCCCGCCTCGCACGGCCCTGGGGCAGGCCTGGCCGGGCCACACGCTGGAGACGGCCAGCAGCCAGTGCCATGAGAAGATGCCGGTGAGGGACATCTACTTCCAGTCTTGCGTCTTCGACCTGCTCACCACGGGCGACGCCAATTTCACCGCAGCCGCCCACAGCGCACTGGCCGACGTGGCCGCATTGCATCCGTGCCGCGAGCGCTGGCACATCTTCCCCCGCGCCCGGGCCGCGGGCACCACCGCCGCCACTGCTGCAGGCCTGGGGCTCGCCTGCTCCGCCCTCGTCCTGTTTTTGTAGGAGTGTCTTCGTTTTTTTATTTCTTGTCTATAGCAAAATTTTAAAATATATATTGTCATAATATATTGAGTAAAAGAGCATATGTGTATAGACCGTGTATATGATGGGGTGCTGCCCCTGCGCCCTCCGGACTGTGCAGCCGCGTAGCCTGTTGTCACACGTGTTGGATGTAGTATTCTTTGATTGTATCAATTTTGTTTTGCAGTTTTGTGAAATGTTTTATAATGTCCCTTCCGGGGGACCTGTTAGAAAGCACTTTATTTTTTATATATTAAATATTTATGTGTGTACCTGGTTAACACGTGCAGTGCATACGCAGACACTGGCACGCAGCAGCGTCTCTTCCAGGTAACCGGTAGCCCGTGTCCATCCTCGCTGTCCCCGCCTGCCCTTCCCACGGCTGCTGATCCGCGCAGAGCTGCGTCCTTGTCCTTCCATCCTGCTTGGTGAGAAAGGTGGTGAAGGCCCGAACAGGTGCGGTGACTTTTGACCGTTAGATGCTAACACGAAAGCCCTTCCTCTCCAACCGCTGTTACCCTTCCAGAAAGGGACAGTATCACCGCCATTCTTACGGTGCCCAATTCTGATCACACAGCTGAGCGCAGAGAGTGTGTCAGGCTGGGCCCGAGGGTGGCTGCTCCCTGGGTCTAGAGACGGTTTTATAGGTGAATCACAGGCGCCTTGCTGGACCCCAGGAGCTCTCAGACTTTCTTTCATCCCATTCCCCTTTTAAATTGTAGTTTTTCCCTCTTTTAACTAATCTGTGTTGAGCAGAATGTGAAACCATTAATTCAGTGATGACCACACCTTTCTCCTTTGCAGGGCTGTCATGCCCAGTCCTTGCCCTTCTCCCTGCCTGCTCAGGGAGCCCTCTCCCCCTTGACCCGGTTGGCCCACCTGACCTCTCTGCCAGGATCCAAAGCCTAGGTTCCAGATTGTTTTTCTAGTGTAGAAACCGGACCCCCCACAAGGGCTCTTCCTTCACACCTGCCTTCTCCACAGCTCTGACGTCTCTGTGTGATGGGGGCGGTGGAGACCGTCACACAGAGAAGCTGCTTTGGCCTGGCTCAGGGTGGCGGGCTCTTGGTGCTGGCTACTCCACAAGTTCTTGTTAACTATGCCTGTGCTCTCCAGTCTTTTTTTTAAATCAGGTGCTCTGTGTCTTAATGTCTGTGGGTATCAATTTAAGTGGTTGCTCATGTGACTTAGTGAAATCCCTATGAAATGAAGCAATCTCTTCTTGCCTCTTCCATTCCATGTTGGTACCTCCTTACAAATCGAAAAGAGCAAGAGGCAGGAGCAGTGACTGACCGATTTACCCCCAGGACAGGTAGTGGTGTGTTGGCATATCTCAGCGTAAATGTGTGGTTCTAGGAAGAAGTGATACAGTATGTACTTTAAATAATTCAAGTTTACATAAACACAGACAAAAGGCATGAAGTTTAAAAACCATAGTACTTTAGGCCACGTCTGTGCTTCGTGTTAGGTGGCCGGGTAATTTCTTTTGCCATGTCCTATCAACCAGTGGTACTGTCAGAGGCCCAGACTGAGAGAAAAAGAGGATGTCATTTTCGGGAAAGTTCTGTTTCTTGGTGAGTTGACTTGCCATCCAGTCACAGAGTGGATTTGTGAGTTCATCTGGAGGGCAAGCCTCTCTGCCTTCTGGGGTGTGAGAGAATAGTCTTGGGCAGTCTAGGGAAATAATGAAGGTGCACTGAGCCTCTCAGGCTGAGACCTGTTGTCCTCTGGAAGCTGGGCAAGGGCCTGCCAGCCCCCGGCTCTGCATGACAGCCACTTCTAGCCACTCTGGAGACACGTACCAAGTAGAGAAGCACGGAGAGGGAACACACTGAGGATACTTGTAACCACTATTTTTGTGCAAATAGTATGAAAGTGAAGTAAAAGCAATAGAAATTTCAGTGGTATCTGAGTTTATAGTATGTATGATTTATATACTTCTGTTCTTTTCAGGGAAAATAAAACAACCCCCTCTACTCATAGTTGGGAAGAGAAAATCTGGCTGCTTTGCTGTGCCATTCAGCTCCGAGGGTCGCTGTCATAGTCAGCTGTTTCCTTCTCATCAGTTTCCTTGTAAAACGATCCCCACAGAGACCCTTCAGAAATACAAGTAATTCTCTGGATAAGAGCAAGGTTTGCAGACTCCTTCTCTAGAGTTTCAGGAGAACATGCTGCTTGCCCTTGTTGGTTCTTGAAATCTTTTGCCAGAAGAGTTTTGGGTGATACCTACATGTGACTAGCCTATAGCTGTTCAGGAGGTCTCATTTTCACAGATGCTTCACATGGCCGTCTTTAAAAGACTCAAAACTTTCTTTGTCCTCTTTGTTATGCTTGGAAACCCCATAGTGTGTAAAGTTTTTACAAAGAAACCTTTAGATGTGGTTCCTAGGTACATGAATACATATCTGTGTAAAACAGTGAGTGTGCAGTGTGTAAATACTCTAAATTATTATGCTAGAAAAATAAAGTCGCTACCATGCTGTGGAATGTGGTTCTGTGATTGCAGGGACGCCTGCCGGGGGAGCTGAGAAGCAGCTGCAGGAGGTGGGGGAGCTAATCCCTCAAGGCACTGGCAACAAGCTGTCGGGCAGGCTGTGCACACACTTTCTAAACTAGACCACTTACAGAGTTTTTCCTTTTCAAATGTTAAGGGGTGATAAATAAGCTGGTGTCTGTGACAGTGGTCCGCTGGAACTGTCCCATAGTTCTGTCTTTGATAATAGCTTTAGTCCCTGGAAGACCTGGGACCTGCGTGCTAGTTCACCCAGGCGTTGTGGACTGCAGCCACTGATTCCTGTTGGCAAGTTGTGAAAGCACAGCTTTCTGGCTTTGAAAACTTGCAAATCCTCACTTCTTGGGTGTTCTAAACAGAGGCATCAGAAATCACAAGTTGGTCTTTGTTCAAGAAACATGGCAAATGATAGAAAAGCTTGGAAAAGAATTAAACCCAAACTGAAGGCATGGGAAAGTACTTACTAGGTAGGATACCAAATGGATCAAATTCTGACTGGGGGAAATAATGCATATGACCATGTCTTAAATACCTTAACCGCTGCACTTGGTGTTTCCATGTTCACAGAAAAAAACCTGAAACACATCAGCTGAACCACTCAAAATAGGGGACGGTCGCAGAGTCTCTGAGTACCTGGAACGTTGCTTGTGCTGAATGAATGCCAGTAATTGATATCACGATGGATATAGATGTTGCTTAAAAGTCAAAAATAATTCATCATGTTCTGTTCAGGCCTAGACCTCCAGCTTTTCAGGGACTGAAACTTGAACTCCAGAAATCTACAGGGGAGATACTCATTTTTTAAAATAGCAAATGGTGATATAAACCCTAAGAGTTCTGTTATTTGGTTTATCTTGCTTATCATTTTAAATTTTGTAGCCCCCACCTTGCTGGCATTCTCTTGCCCAGAGTGCCTGGGATCCACATTCTTGGGGGGCTGTTGGCCTTTCTGAGCAGAGGGCCTTGCTGCGAGTTCCCTCCTGTCCCACTTGTATGTGACCCAGAACATCCCACAGAGGATGTAACCAGGACACGGAGAGCAGTGTGCCCAGCTCACATACTGTTCTTTCTGCTTCCCTTCCCTGTGCCTCCCAGGTGGCCCAGTCACATGCACATTACTGTTGTTATTCAGGCAGTGTTTTCCTTGGAATTCACTTCTCTTCCAAGTACCTCTAATTAGTATGATGTTTGATACTACTGTCAACCAAATAACAGAGTAAACTGTGGTGTCATGGCTGCCTGCCTTGAGGTGTGGACTTCTCATGTCTCAAGAGCTGAGTGAGGTTAAAGGGAAGACTAGAGTGTTGGGGGCCCAGGGAGGTGCAGGGCACTGCACAGTTGGGCTGCGTACCCTCAACCTTGGTAGGGTGACGTTCAGACCGACCGACCAAACCAGTCCTGTCCACGGAAGGCCCATCAGGTTCCAGCGGGAAGAATGCAGCCAGGAGATGTTTTCTAATTGAGATTTTTTCACGGGTGATACTTCCGTGACCCATTTTTTACTTCAATTATAATAACTTCAACTCCAATAATAGACAACAAGCAAGCATCCTGTTAGCAGATTGGATATACGAGACAAAGCCACAGATGATTTAACCAAGGCAGATTGGATATACGAGACAAAGCCACAGATGATTTAACCAAGGCAGAACTGCCATAAATGATTTTTAGAAAATAGGGTTATCTCCATCAGTAAGGCAACTCTGCCAAGGGAAAATGGTGTCACCTGACAGCGGGAGGCTCCCAGAATCCCTGACGGGAGGCAGTGAGGTAGGGTTCAGTGAAGGGGGTAAGAGGAACAAATTTATTTTCTAGCAAGGCCTTCTGAGCCACTAAATAGCAACGGCATTAACGCTGTGGGTCACCAACACTGGGGACTCTGGTAGAGCTGTGGGTTGGCGCCCTCCAAGTTCAAGGGACAAGGCCAGGCCGAGTGTTCGCATGAACATCCATCTCCCCCTTGAAAGGCACAGAACACAAGGTCCTCAGCTTCCTGTCAAGTTGCAATTCAGGTGACATCCAGAGGGTAGGAGAGGTGAGTGCATCTGAGGAAGGTGTGTGACGAATCTGGAGTGCATTCTGCTTACATTTTGACCACAGGACCCTTTGAAGTTTTACTCCTGTGCACATAACCATTTGACCTCAGGAGGCCGCACAGCGTGGTGGGCAGGGCTTGGTCCAGAGCACAGCTGTGGAGGAATTCAGTGCAAGTCCCCCCTTTCCTAGCATGTGGGTTAGACATGCCAAGCTGTACAGAAGCTTCAGTTTCTTTTTACAGTGAAGATCCTACTAGAATTCACACACCTCAGCGTCATTATGAGATACAAGTTTGTCAGGGCACCAAAGGTTTTCAGCCTCGCACCTGGGACACACCTCATGCTCAACACACATCACTCAACACTGAGCCTGGGATCTAGATGGCTGGACGGGTACCTTGGGGACTGGCAGAACCCTGAGCTATTCCTGTGACTAAATTTCTGTTTATGCTCCACTGAACACTGAAGAATTCAGTTCTGGGGTGAAGTTCTGCAGAGTTCAGACATGCCCAGGAGGGATGGACACCCCCTGCCTCCAGAAGGCGCCCAGCAGTGCCTGCTGCTCCACACTGTGGCTCCCACACCTCAGCCCAAGCCCAGCCAGGCCCTCGTGCTGAGAGAGCAGCCCAGCTTGTGAGCACCTGTTTGCCCTGCACAGAACTTCAGGGCTTGGGGGACCTGGGGACATGAGAACTCTGGGGGAAGCTGCTCCTGGAGAAATGACTGCGGAGATTGCTGGACTGGCCATGTCTTTCTTGCCTCAGCAGATCAAAGTCCCACTGAAGAGAGTGTCTAACTTTGGGAAAGGACATGGAACTGTTTTCAGAGATAGGAGAACCTGGTCCACAAGTACCAAGTTCTACATAACAAATCTTGACATCAGTGGGCTGTAGGCCCCCACCCAAGTGGAGAGAAAGGAAGGGAGAAACACCTGGGGAGGCCACAGGACTCACAAGGTCCCATGAGCCCAGCCCTTCCTTCCCTGGTCTCAAGATCATTTTCAAGTGTGAAGGGTGAGAGGCCAGGACTTGTGAGAGATTGAGCACAGACGCTCAATAAAAAGGCAATGTGGAAAAAAGGTAAAGAAAAGACGTTGAGGCTCGGCGCCTGTGGCTTAAGCGGCTAAGGCACCAGCCACATACACCTAAGGTGGTGGGTTCGAATCCCCAGCCCGGGCCCGCCAAA